TCCTCCCATGCAATAATTTCATAGATTTTTTTTTCATTCTGGAAGCTAGATTAAAGGTCATTTAGTCCAATAATTTTACAGATAAGGCCACCCCCAAACCATAAAAAGTTTATACAAATACATAGCACATAGACTACAATGTGCTAAATTTGGTTTAAAAGTTTTAAACAGAATTTATTAAATGTAGAAGACTATTTATAAGAATTCAGATTCTCAGGAGGTTATGGAGATATAGTATAGTCTCACCCTATAGGGTTCATGTCATGTTGTAAAGGTACCAATAAACTCTCTTTGCTAATTGCTTGCCCATATAGAATGCTTACTTGAAAAGAGCATTGGTCAAATGTAATACAACATTATTATGGCCAAATATTTTATCCACTTTTTGTGAATATAATATGAAAATTGATCAAAATATGATTTTATGTGGTTCTGTGGCCCCACCTGATTGACAACAAGACATAAATATGTCTGGGTTTTCTGTTTCAGAGTTTGTTTCTGTTTTTTGTTTTAATTGATCTTCTTCCTAGAATCATAATATATTGGAACTAGAATCTGGTGTAGCCATCTCATTTTATAAATATGGTAGCTGGGGAACCAAAAGATGAAGCGGCTTACTCATTATCACCCAAGAAATTAGTGGCAAAGCAGGTCTCCTGCCTTTTAATCCAAGTATTTTTTAGTGGTAACTCATTGATTCTCCAAGTAATGTTTATTCTAACAATATTTCTAAAGTATAAGAAAATCAGCGTCCTTAATCCAGTTCCCTATGGATAATGATTTTTCTGTAGCATTCTACTGAACTCCTTAGCTCTTGAATGCAAAAGGAAGATAATTGCAGATTGATTAGAAATCATGTTTATCAATCAGGTTGTGTTGCTTCTCAAATAAGCTGCCTGTTCCCAGAATACTCTTTGGAAAACACTGCCTCACGGGCTAATACTCAAAACATGATTTTTTAAAATAATTAGATGGTGTTAAACCAAATGTTAAAATTAGTTAATGTAACTTCAGTCAAAGAGAAAATATATATTAGTTGTATCACTTTTTATTATCTGTCTATTTATCTTGATTTATCTCTCTTTTATGACAACCCAAGAGCTATATTTATCAGTGAGATTCAGAATCTAATTTTAAAAATTTGTAGGTATTCAGGCCAAAAATTATTGGGATTTCAAATAACGTAGTAATAACTACATCTTAAGTGGGGAGAAAGTTAAGAAAAATTTGTAATAATTCCTTTCCCCCACCACTGAAAGTATCTAAGTGTGGGTCTCTATGAACGTGAACATTTGAAAATAGACCAACCCATCTAAAAGTACTTAGAGAAAATGTTTCTCTGAAGCTTTATTCACAAGAAATTATTCATACCTAGTTAAGTCTCCATAGCATCAACCACCAACGAATGGCTGCATTGGCTGAGCTCCTTGGTATATAACTCTATATGCTTCTCTTCTCCCATTTGTTTTTCTTGGTACATTAATTCAAAGTAAAGAAACCAGGGGATCAGTCTACTGTTTCTTAATTTTCCTTTTCCTTGAGTATCTTTAACAAAAACAACAGCAGCAAAACTTGCAAAGCACCCTTGAAAATAGGGTTCTAAACCAGTAGACCAAACAATAGTAATCAAATGATGATAAAATTATTCCTTTTTCACACACACACAAAAATATTATTTTAATCAATTATGTTTAATTCACAGGTTGGTGAGTAAAAATGGCATTTACATGATTGTGAACTCAGAAAGAGAGTTGTTTATTATATATTTATTCATTTAAAAATCCACCACTATTAATGAAGGAATTATTTAAACTTTCCTTTGCATTTGGGGAGATCTCATTTGCTAAGCACATTCACACTTTTTTTGCAAATAGACGTTTGCCCACATGGTCCTCAATGTATGTACTGCATTAAGATAAATTTGTATTTCCCTTTCTCTTCCACCATTATCATCTTTTTTTGGTCCTTCATATACTCCCTATTTTGATCTCATGTACTATATTCTATTCAACATCTGGAAAACCAATATTCTTTCATTTTTAATTACTTCATCCAATTTTTTATTTTGCCATTAAATCTATCCTAATCTACTTAATCAAAGCATTCATTCATTCACACTTGGTATTATTCCTTTTGAATGTCCATTTGCATATTGTATTCAATACTTGTATACTTCATCAGTGGGCATTCCCTCCATTGGTGTAGATTTTACCCCAAAAAGCTTTTTTTTTCATCCTGTGATGCTCTTATCCATATAAAAATCCATGAAGTATCTATGATATAGCAGGCACGGAGAACCCCATTGGGAGAAGTCCTTTCAAATAGGACTTAATAGATAAGTCCCAGGAAGTTTTTTGACGCACATGGAAAGGAAACAACTTCCTCAAGGTCACACAACTGGCAATTATTTCCTAACTCCAAATGCAACACTCTGGCCAGGAATCCATCATATATCCAGGACTATTCCTATAAATCCTTTCTATGAGGTCCAACTCATATGATGGGAACTTTTCTCTCAATTTCTTGATATCACATAGAAATCAATGGAATACATGATCTTTTGATAGGTTATTTCCACTCTTCATGACACGACTATAAAGCTTCTTCAAAAATAATAATACATCTTTCTGATGACATCCTTTCTCCTGTATAAGCTTCATTGATAAAACATTGTATCATATTAACTCCTACCATATTCATCTCCCTTGCCCTTTGAAATATGTAAATTTTAATTCTTCTTAAATTATGCTATTTTACTAGTCACCAATATTCTAATAAGCATATCAGTGGAGGAAAAAAACGTTTGATAATTTTAAATAGATAATGTTATGCAGTATTCCAAGACCAGTGCGGCCTGTTTTTGGTGAAATATTTGGTTGTGGACACAGCTTATCATCTATCTGCAGTATCTGTCTTTGGTGTATGTTCAGATAGATGGACCAAATTTGTAAGTTTTCCTTACAATGGCATATCATATTTTATACAAGAAGCACTGTGCATTCATTTCTTTCCCACCCTACCCTGACATCAACAGTTTAACTGATTTTGGGAAAGGTGGTAAAGCAGCAGGAAGAATTATGGCGAATCTCCCCCCTCAACCTCCACCCCCAAAAAAACAATTACCTCCTCCAACTAGATTTAGAAAATGCACCAGACTGAATCATGATTGGAAAATTAATTTAAAAAATAGAGCGAGTCATTTACTTTTTCTAAGCTGGGCTATGGTGGGGGGGGCATGTCTATGGATAATTAGCACAGCACTTCTCTAAGAGTTTTTCATGCAGAGCACAACAGTTAAGGGAGAGTCTGTTTATCAGGGTAAGGAGAAGTCCCAAATCCAGCACAAAGGAGTGTAAACCTGGGTATGGTACAAGAATAGATACAAACTGGAAGTTCTTCTGCTTACTATACAATTCTGTATCACAGATCCAGTGCATTAAGAAGCTGATCTGCACTCAAGCATAACATTCCAAAGTGATGAGAAGTAGTGGGCTCTAGGCAGAAAAGGAGAAAGTTTAAGGGGAAAAATAAAAGAAGTGATGTGGATCAAATTCCAAGGATACTGTGGAGTCTCATTCCTAGTCTCCATCTCATTCTGAAGCCTACAACATAATAACCGAGGCAGAAATTCGAGACTGAAGGAAAATTTACATTTCTTTTACTTTGAACTAGCAGAACTTTTGAAATGGATTGGAACCACAAATGGGGAAACCCCAGAAGCATGTTGCTTAGACCCAAACCAAGATCAGGAACTTGTAGAGTTCTGACCATTCAGATAAAAATCAAACTTTACCCTTGACAAAACTTGATCCAATTGCAGTGAAAATTTGCAAGCAACCAGCTTTACCTGTCCCTGAAATCCTGGAATAACATTAAATTTAGTACCCTATGAAAGCAGCAGCAGGCCAAGTCCAGATATTTTCTCCACAGAAGCACATAGAGCCTGACAATAACAAAGTCCTAAACTAGGAAGTAATCTAGAAGAATAAGCAAACAAAAAAACCAAATAATCAAATTTTAGTGTATATTATTTTGATTGGGATGTCCAAGATATGAATCTAAAGAGAATAATTCAAAGCATCTAAAAGCAAAATCTCAAATTAAAACAGCTCAGGCATAAATTCAACTAAGATTTCTGGAAAACATGGAGTTGGATCAAGGAAGAGTTCACATATACATATTTAATTTTAAATTTAAATTAATTTTATATATATATAATATATATATATATATGAATGAAATTGGAGCATCAGAGGAAAACATTTTGGAAAGAAGTGAAAACTCTGAAAGACAGAATTAGAAAATAAATTAATAGCATGGAACAAGAGGCACAAACCAACAAAGTCCCTCAAAATTAGAATGGATGAAAAAATATAGGACTCCATGAGAAAACAAGAAATATTAAAAATGATTAAAAGACTGAAAAAAAGGATAGAAGAAAATGCAGCCTATCTCAATGAAAGCAACTGACTTGGAAAAATTATTCAAGCAGAGATAATTTAAGAATCATTGGACTACCTAAAAACCATGACCAAAAAAAAAAAGCCAAAACAGCATACTTTGAATAATAATAAAAGAAAACTGCCTACATCTTTTAGAATCAGAAGTCAAAGTAAAAAAAAAAAAATAGAAAGAAGCCATAAGCTATCTCCTAAATGCAACCCCCAAATGAAAACTCCCGGGAACATTAGAGCCAATATTTATAGCTTCCAGATTAAAGAAAACATATCTTAAGCAGTCAGAAAGAAATAATTCAAGTACTGAGGAGTAATAGTCATGATCATTCATGATTTAGTACAACTATTATAAAAGAGTGGAAAGCTTGGATTACAATATTCCAGAAGAAAGAAGATACTAGCTTAGGATAAAAATAACTTACCCAACAAAATTGAATATAATCTGACAAGGGAAAATATAAATATTTAATGAAATGGGAATTTACAAATATTCTTTTATTTATTTATATTTTTTTAATTTTATTTTTACTTTCATTTCCAGATTCTTTCTGTCCTTCCATCCTCTCCCATATAAATTGAGAGGGCATCTAATATAATAGCTATTATACATATAAATCATGCAAAGTATATTTCTTCATTAGCCATGTTCCAGAAAAGAAAGAAAAATAAGTGAAGAAAAAAAAGTTTCAATCTGTGCTCTTTGTCCATCAGTTCTCCACTTGAAAGCAGATAGAATTTTACATCATAAATCCTTTGGAGCTGTAGTGGATTATTGCAGCAACCGATTACTAAATGTTTTATTGGTGATTATCTTTACAATATTGTTGTTCCTTTGTAGATTAGTCTCCTGGTACTACTCACCTTACTTTGTATCAGTCCTCTGGTTTTCCTGAAACCATACCCTTCATCATTTCCTATAGTACAACATAAACACACACACACAAAAAAAACATATACCATCACTTCATCACCCATTCGGTGGTTGATGAGCATCCTCTCAGTTTCCAATTCTTTGTCACCACAGAAAGAGGTGCTATAAATATTTACCTACATACGGTCCTTTTCCTTTTGCTTTGTTCTCCTTGGGGTCTAGTCAAGCATTCTGGATGGAAACAAACAAATAAAGTTGGTACAAACTTTAAAATGCAAACAGAAGAGTTATGAGACCTAAAACATAAGGCATGGACAAACAGTCTTAGGGGCCTAAACAAGAAAAAAACTGCTTACATTCTAATATGAGGAAATGATACTTGCATTCCCTCTGAACCCTCTCATTATCAGAAATCACAGAGGGAATTAAATAGAAATATAAGAGTGAATAGGGAGAGTAAAATAATGCCTTGAAAATACTATTCCAATGCCTTCAACTACAGTGAATCCAATATACACATCAAAAATGTACAAGATTTCTTGAATAGGAAAACAGAGAAAATCTTGTTCACTGACCTGATCATGAAAATCAGATAAGGCATAAAACAAAAAGAAAATGCTCCCCAACAATATTCACCCCTGTCATGGAGGAGATGCCATGGAGAGATCTAGTGGAATATGGTAAAGTTCTGAGGATGCTACAGATGACATTGTACTGATTAAATTACATCCAGAATGTTGCAGAGCTTCCTAGATTCGTTTCATAACCACTAAAAAAACCCTTTGATCTAACAATTCACAGCTGAAAAAAAACAAAGTGGAGAAAGACTGCCTAATGTTCAGACTGTGATTTACAGTTAGATGAGGATGTTGTTTCTTTAAGATTGGAGTATAGACAATAAGATTTCTTCATATGCTTGGTTATTTTTTTCTTCCAATATGGATTATTATGTATTTTTTTAAATTATAAGCTAAATTCATTTTCCATTACCAATGTATAACCAAAATATTCAAGGAGAAGGCCTTGACTTGTGATTTCATTATTTTAGGGAATTACTAGATGGAGGAAATCTACCATTATAAGTTTGTAACCAATCAGGTATTTACTGTCTTTAAAGTGTTACATAAACATATATTATTACATTAAACTTTATTCCTTTTGGGGGGGAGGAGGAATCGAAGCCAATGAGAATATCAAAATTAATATTGCCTTGAATTTGTACTGTATTGATTCTATAATGTAATTGAGTTTATGCTGTATTGATTTTCATAATTGAGTCTGCATCTGCCTAAAGCCACTTTTCTGTGTCCTTGAGTTGAGCTCAGGAATTCATATTTCCCTCTGAGTCAATTTGTAGTTATAAGTAATGGGAAAAATTGTTACCTGCCACACCTTCACCACCTGGGAAAATACTCAGACATTTTGTGCTATCTTCAAGTCCTCAAGCTAGCTCTAAGAGATGTAATGCCCCTGAACTGTCCTTGAACCATTAAGGAAAGCCTTTATCTTTCTAACAAACATTTATAGCACCAGGTAGTCTGCTAACTCAGGTACACTAACAAGGTCTGCAATATAGATGGATCCCATAAATAAATCAGCATTCATTAATGAAAAATAGAAGTGGTTAGTAAACCCGTGGAAATACTCACCTGCTTTCCTTTTTGTAATTAATCACATTGTCCCCTTTCTTATAACGCTGTCTGCCATGTAAGCAATTGCATTGTCTTCCAAACCTACCCAGCTTTATCCCTTTGTACTTAGAAAAACTTCATAAAGGCTAGTAAACCCTGCCTCAGAGTCTTTGGTTACGGACCCAGTTTATTGGTTGCTGTTAGCCTAACTAACAAATTGATCATACACAGGAAACTTGTTTCTCAGTTTACCTTAATTGTCAAAAATAACACCAATCAGAGGAGCAGCGAGAGGCCCGGCAACCCTGCGGAGGCCGCAGCCATCTGCCACTTCTTCCTGCAGGGCCGCTGCCGCTTCGGGGAGCCCTGCCGGAACGAGCACCGGCATGGCTGAGGAGGCGGGGAAGCGACCTCCCCCGCCCCTCCGCCCCCGCAGCAGTACCCGGCGGAGCCCTCCCCTTGTAGTAGAGGGGGATGGAGCAACAGATCTCAGAGATATTCTAATGTCATCCAGCGGTCTAATTTCTCCATATCCACAGCTTGGGGGGAGAGCGGTGCAGCAGAGATACAGGGAGGACATTCTTTGGGTCCTTTGACTCAAGGGAATCAAGTAGTGGAAGCAGAAATGTGGGGTTTTCTCAGAACAGATTCTCTGCACTGAGCTCTGACCAAGTGGATGGGCAAAAAGATGACGAGGATAAACTGATTCAAGTGGCTTTCGGAAACTGGCTGCTTGTAACTTTCTTTACACTTGTGTAATGATAGCTCATGTCTCTGCAGTGCTTTACGTCTTATGCACAGCTTTCATGTGGATTATTTGACTTGACCTCCAGAACAACCTTAGTAAGTCTCGTCGGGAGGGGTGGGTGGGAGTGGTACAGTTTGTCTGAGGCCACACCAGAATCAAGGTCTTCGGACTTATTCTCCGAGCACTTCACTCAAGCTCCTCCTATACCCCACAGTGCTTTATTTTTAAAACATCACTGTTGATCGAAACTTTTGGTGGTGGTGTTCAGTCGTGTCAAAGTCTCTATGATCTCTTTTGGGGTTTTCTTGACAAAGATCCTGGAGCGGTTTGTCATTTCCTTCTCCAGCTCATTTGATAGATGAGGAAACTGAGGCAAACAGGATAAAATAACTTGTCCAGGGCCATACAGCTAGGAAGTATCTGAAGCTAGATTTGAACGCAGGTCCTCCTGACTCAAGACCCAAAGCTCTATCCCCATGCTTGAACCTAGTTACGTTTATTTTTGTAGACACTAATATTAAAATGTATAACTACTTGCTTATGTGCTTCAGTGTGTTAAGAAATTGAAAAGTACTATTTTAGGCTTCTGGATCTGTGATCATTTCCTTTGTTGCTTGTTTTTCAGTGCTATTCAAAGTAATAAAATGCATAACCTGCTTCTTTAAAAAAAACTAAAATAACACCACTCATTCTTCAGTGATGTCTCCAGGCCTAAATATCAGGTCAATTGTACATTTAAAAAAAAATGGCTCACCCATTCTTCTAATTTTCCCATCTCTTATTTTAACCCATCATTTATTGTTACATAATTGAAGTTTGAAGTTAATTTCATCTATCCTTATTTTTTAGGTTGCACGCTGTTTTGTTAATATTTCCCAACATTTATTCTAAACCACTTACTATGCTTTCAAATGTTTCATTAAGACTTTTCATTTCTTTCTATGGATATTCTACCCCCTAGTTCTAGAACTTCCGGGCAGTTTTCCCTTACAATTTCCTGAAAGATTCTGTCCAGGATCTTTTTTACAGCATGATTTTCAGGTATTCCAATAATTTTCTCTCTCTCTCTCTTTTTTTTATTAATTTCTTTTGATTTATCAACAATCACTTCCATATGCTTTTGAGTTGAAAATTTTTCTCCCCCTTCCTCCCCCCCACCCTCTCCGACTCGGCACACAATCTGATATAGGCTTTACATTTACATAGCCATTAAACATATTTTCACATTAGTGAAGTTGTAAGTAAAAATTAAAACCAATAGGAAGAACCATCAGAAAGATGAAACAAAACTCAACAGAAGGTAAAAATAAGTGATACCGATTCGACTTCCATAGTTCTTTCTTTGGATTTGGACAGCATTTTCGATCCCGAGGCTTCTAGAGATGTCTTAGATCCTTGTTATGCTGAGAAGGGTTCAGTTTAACAATATTAGTCATCATAACGTGGCTGTTATTGTACAAAGTCTCTTGGTTCTGCTCACTTCACTCAGCATCAGACCATATAAGTCTTTCCAGGTTTTTCTGAAGTCAGCCTGTTCATCATTTCTTATAGCACAATAGTATTCCATTACATTCATATACCACAACTTGCTCAGCCATTCCCCAATTGATGGGCATCCTCTCAATTTCCAATTCTTTGCCACCACAAAAAAGCTGCTATGAATATTTTTGTACATGTGGGTCCTTTTCCCATTTGTTTGATCTCTTTGGGATATAGCCCTAGAAGTGCTATTGCTGGATCAAAGGGTATGCACATTTTTGTAGCCCTTTGGGCATAGTTCCAAATTGTTCTCCAAAATGGTTGGATCATTTCACAACTCCACCAACAATGTATTAGTGTTCCAATTTTCCCACATCTTCTCCAACATTTATCATTTTCCTGTTTTGTCATGTTGGCCAATCTGATAGGTGTGATGTGGTACCTCAGAGTTGTTTTGATTTGCATTTCTCTAATCAATAATGATTTAGAGCATTTTTTCATATGACTATAGATGGCTTTAATTTCTTCATCTGAGAACTGTCTGTTCATATCCTTTGACCATTTATCAATTGGGGAATGGCTTGTGTTCTTATAAATTTGTCTTAATTCTCTATATTTTAGAAATGAGGCCTTTATCAGAGAGACTGGTTGTAAAAATTCTTTCCCAATTTTCTACCTTCCTTCTAATCTTAGTTGCATTGGCTTTGTTTGTGCAAAAACTTTTCAATTTAATGTAATCAAAATTATCCATTTTGCTTTTCATAATGTTCTCTATCTCCTGTTTGGTCATGAATTCTTCTGTTCTCCATAGATCTGATAGGTAAACTATTCCTTGTTCTCCCAGTTTACTTATGGTATCAGCCTTTATATCTAAGTCATGAACCCATTTTGACTTTATTTTGGTATATGGTGTGAGATTTGGGTCTATGCCTAGTTTCTGCCATACTCTTTTCCAGTTTTCCCAGCAGTTTTTTTCAAAGAGTGGGTTCTTATCCCAGAAGCTGGGGTCTTTGGGTTTATCAAATAATAGATTACTATAGTCATTGATTACCTACTGTGTCTTGCATATTTAATCTATTCCACTGATCCACCTCCCTATTTCTTAGCCAGTACCAAGCAGTTTTGATGATTGCTGCTTTATAATACAATTTAAGATCTGGAATTGCTAGGCCACCTTCCCCTGCATTTCTTTTCATTAGTTCCTTTGATATTCTGGACCTTTTGTTTTTCCAAATGAATCTTGTTATTATTTTTTCTAACTCTATAATATTTTGATTGGTATGGCACTGAATAAGTAAATTAGCTTAGGTAGGATTGTCATTTTTATTATATTAGCTCAGCCTACCCATGAGCAACTGATGTTTTTCCAATTATTTAGATCTGATTTTATTTGTGTGAAAAGTGTTTTGTAATTGTGTTCATAGAGTTCCTGGGTTTGTTTTGGAGGTAGACTCCTAAATATTTTATAATGTCTACAGTAAGTTTAAATGGGATTTCTCTTTCTATCTCTTGCTGTTGGGCTTTGTTGGTAATATATAGAAATGCTGATGATTTATGTGGGTTTATTTTATAGCCTGCAACTTTGCTAAAGTTGTTTATTATTTCAAGTAGTTTTTTACTTGATTCTCTAGGATTCTCTAAGTATATCATCATGTCATCTGCAAAGAGTGATAGCTTTGTTTCTTCTTTGCCTATTCTAATGCCTTCAATTTCTTTTTCTTCTCTTATTGCTAAAGCTAAGTTTCCAGTACAATATTGAATAACAGTGGTGATAATGGACATCCTTGTTTCACCCCGATCTTATTGGAAATGCTTCTAGCCTGTCCCCATTACATATAATGCTTGCTGAAGGTTTTAGATATGCTATTTATTATTTTAAGGAAGACTCCATTTATACCTATGCTTTCTAGTGTTTTTAATAGGAATGGGTGTTGTATTTTATCAAAAGCTTTTTCTGCATCTATTGAGATGATCATGTGGTTTCTGTTGGTTTTGGTGTTGATATGCTCAATGATGCTGATAGTTTTCCTAATATTGAACCAACCCTGCATTCCTGGTATAAATCCTACCTGGTCATAGTGTATTATTCTTGTGATAAGTTGCTGCAATCTATTGCTAGTATTTTGTTTAAAATTTTTGCATCTATATTCATTAGAGAAATTGGTCTATAATTTTCTTTCTCTATTTTGACTCTTCCTGGTTTAGGTATCAACACCATATTTGTATCATAAAAAAATTTGGTAAGACTCCTTCTTCACCTATTTTCCCAAATAGTCTATATAGTATTGGAATTAATTGTTCTTTAAATGTTTGATAGAATTGCATGTAAATCCATCTGGCCCTGGAGATTTTTTCCTAGGGAGTTCATCAATGGCTTGTTCAATTTCTTTTTCTGAGATGGGGTTATTTAAGTATTTTACTTCCTCTTCGTTAATCTGGGCAATTTATATTTTTGTAAATATGTATCCATTTCACTAAGATTGTCAAATTTGTTGGCATATAGTTGGGCAAAATAATTCCTAATTATTGTTTTAATTTCCTCTTCCTTGGTGGTAGCTTCGCCCTTTTCATTCTTGATACTAGTAATTTGGTTTTCTTCTTTCTTTTTTTAATTAAATTAACCAAAGGTTATCTATTTTATTGGTTTTTTCATAAAACCAGCTCTTAGTTTTATTTATTAGTTCAATAGTTTTCTTAATTTCAATTTTATTAATTTTTCCTTTGGTTTTCAATATTTCTAATTTGTGTTTAGTTGAGGATTTTTAATTTGTTCTTTTTCTAGTTTTTTTAGTTGTATGCCCAATTCATTAATCTCCTCTTTTTCTATTTTATTTATGTAAGCATTTAGAGATATAAAACTTCCCCTAAGAACTGCTTTTGCTGCATCCCATAGTTTTGGTATGTTGTCTCATTATTGTCATTCTCTTGAATGAAATTATTGATTGTTTCTATGATTTGTTGTTTGACCCAATCATTTTTTAGGATTAGATTATTTAGTTTCCAATTATTTTTTAGTCTATCTTTCTATGGCCCTTTATTACATATAATTTTTATTGCATCATGATCTGAAAAGGATGCATTTAATATTTCTGCCTTTCTGCATTGGATTGTGAGGTTTCTATGCCCTAGTA